CAACTGTAGAACTTGTCGGAGACTTCATATCTCTCGACCCGGGCATGAGCTTGGAAAACCATTTTCAGCTCTTCGAACATCTCATATGCTCCGTGTTGCTCAAAACGCTTTTGGATCCCCGTTTCTAAGCTGTAAAGCATGCCGCACTGAACGAGGGAGTAATCATCAGCACGCGATTGCCAAGCATTCATAACGTCTTGGTTCTCTGGGATGGGTGCTTCACCTAGCGGTCCTTCTAGGACATATGCTTTCTTGGTAGCTATGAGGATGATCCTCAGGTTTCGGACCCAGTCCGTATAGTTGTTGCCATCATCTTTCAGCTTGGTTTTCTTTAGGAACGCGTTGAAGTTGAGGTTGACACGAGCGTTGGCCATTTGATCTACAAGACATTTTGCAAAGGTTTTTAGACTAAGTTCATGATAATTAAGTTCATCTAATCAAATTATTTAATGAACTCCCACTCAGATTAGACATCCCTCTAGTCATCTAAGTGATACATGATCCAACTCAACTAGACTGTGCCCGATCATCACGTGAGACGGACTAGTCATCATCGGTGAACATCTCCATGTTGATCATATCTTCCATACGACTCATGTTCGACCTTTCGGTCTCTTGTGTTCTGAGGCCATGTCTGTACATGCTAGGCTCGTCAAGTCAACCTAAGTGTTTTGCATGTGTAAATCTGTCTTACACCCGTTGTATGTGAACGTTAGAACCTATCACACCCGATCATCATGTGGTGCTTCGAAACAACAAACTTTCGCAATGGCGCACAGTTAGAGGGAACATTTTCTTGAAATTATTATGAGGGATCATCTTATTTACTACCGTCGTTCTAAGCAAATAAGATGCAAAAGCATGATAAACATCGCATGCAATCAAATAGTGACATGATATGGCCAATATCATTTTGCTCCTTTTGATCTCCATCTTCGGGGCGCCATGATCATCGTCGACACCGGCATGACACCATGATCTCCATCATCGTGTCTTCATGAAGTTGTCACGCCAACGATTACTTATACTTCTATGGCTAACGGTTTAGCAACAAAGTAAAGTAATTTACATGGCGTTATTCAATGACACGCAGGTCATACAAAAAATAAAGACAACTCCTATGGCTCCTGCCGGTTGTCATACTCATCGACATGCAAGTCATGATTCCTATTACAAGAACATGATCAATCTCATACATCACATATATTTCATTTATCACATCCTTTTGGCCATATCACATTACAAGGCATATGTTGCAAAAACAAGTTAAACATCCTCTAATTGTTGTAAGTTTTTTCACGTGGCTGCAATAGGGTTCTAGCAAGAACGTTTCTTACCTACGTAAAACCACAACGTGATATGCCAATTTCTATTTACCCTTCATAAGGACCCTTTTCATCGAATCCGATCCGACTAAAGTGGGAGAGACAGACACCCGCTAGCCACCTTATGCAACTAGTGCATGTCAGTCGGTGGAACCTGTTTCACGTAAGCGTACGTGTAAGGTCGGTCCGGGCCGCTTCATCCCACGATGCCGCCGAAACATGAAAAGACTAGTAGTGGCAAGAAAATTGAAAACATCTACTCCCACAACAAGATTATGTTCTACTCATGCATAGAAACTACGCATAGACCTAGCTCATGATGCCACTGTTGGGGAACGTTGCAGAAAATAAAAAATTTCTACGCTTCACCAAGATCAATCTATGGAGTCATCTAGCAACGAGAGAGAGGAGTGCATCTACACACCCTTGTAGATCACGAGCGGAAGCGTTCAAGAGAACGGAGTTGAGGGAGTCGTACTCGTCGTGATCCAAATCACCGAAGATCCTAGCGCCGAACGGACGGCACCTCCGCGTTCAACACACGTACGGTTGGGGAAGACGTCTCCTCCTTCTTGATCCAGCAAGGGGGAGGGAGAGGTTGATGGAGATCCAGCAGCACAACAGCGTGGTGGTGGAAGCAGCAGCGATCTCGGCAGGGCTTCGCCAAGCTCAACGAGAGGGAGAGGTGGTACGGAGGGAGAGGGAGGCGCCAGGAGCAGGGGTGCGCAGCCCTCCCTCCCCCAATTTTTATATAGGGGCCCTGTGGGGCGCCGGCCCCCTAGAGATCCCATCTCAGGGGGGCGCCGGCCAAGGGGGGGGGGGACTTGCCCCCCAAGCCAAGTGGGCCCCCCCACCCCTAGGGTTTCCAACCCTAGGCGCAGGGGAGGCCCAAGAAGGGCGCACCAGCCCACCAGGGGCTGGTTCCCCTCCCACTTCAGCCCATGGGGGCCTCCGGGATAGGTGGCCCCACCTGGTGGACCCCCGGGACCCTTCCGGTGGTCCCGGTACAATACCGGTGACCCCCGAAACTTTCCCGGTGGCCGAAACTGGACTTCCTATATACAATTCTTCACCTCCGGACCATTCCAGAACTCCTCGTGACGTCCGGGATCTCATCCAGGACTTCGAACAACTTTCGGATTACTGCATACTAATATCTCTATAACCCTAGCGTCACCGAACCTTAAGTGTGTAGACCCTACGGGTTCGGGAGACACGCAGACATGACCGAGACGACTCTCCGGTCAATAACCAACAGCGGGATCTGGATACCCATGTTGGCTCCCACATGCTCCTCGATGATCTCATCGTATGAACCACGATGTCGAGGATTCAAGTAATCCCGTATACAATTTCCTTTGTCAATCGGTACGTTACTTGCCCGAGATTCGATCGTCGGTATCCCAATACCTCGTTCAATCTCGTTACCGGCAAGTCACTTTACTCGTACCATAATGCATGATCCCGTGACCAAACACTTGGTCACATTGAGCTCATTATGATGATGCATTATCGAATGGGCCCAGAGATACCTCTCCGTCATACGGAGTGACAAATCCCAGTCTCGATCCGTGTCAAACCAACAGATACTTTCGGGGATACCTATAGTATACCTTTATAGCCACCCAGTTACTTGTGACGTTTGGTACACCCAAAGCACTCCTACGGCATCCGGGAGTTACACGATCTCATGGTCTAAGGAAATGATACTTGACATTAGAAAAGCTCTAGCAAACGAACTACACATGTATTATGATTGGGTCTTGTCCATCATTCTAATGATGTGATCCCGTTATCAATGACATCCAATGTCCATAGTCAGGAAACCATGACTATCTGTTGATCAACGAGCTAGTCAACTAGAGGCTTATTAGGGACATGTTATGGTCTATGTATTCACACATGTATTATGATTTCTGGATAACACAATTATAGCATGAATAATAGACAATTATCATGAACAAGGAGATATAATAATAATCATTTTATTATTGCTTCTAGGGCATATTTCCAACAGAACTTGGCCCCACATGTCATCGACACTACAACACCATACGGTACTACAAAGTATCTCAACCCCATCTAGCCGCATAGTTGAAGATGAGGTCGGCGTAGTCGCAACCGAAGTCAGAGCAGAGGCGCGGAAAGGTCGACGGACGGTGGCGGGCGACGCAAATCAATATTAGATCGGAAAACCAAAGAAGAAGCACCGATCAGGACGACCGATGTGAGAGAGAAAAACCCGGATCAAGGATCGGGGAAAAGACTCTTTAGGGCAGCCGGTCAACATGACCAGCGGACGAACCTTAGGTACGGGCGGCGCGGCCCCCGGCGGCGGTCATGGAGGCTGACTGCCCCGGGGGCGGCGTGCGGAGCAGAAGCGGTGGGCGACGGCTAGGGTTGGATCGGTTAGGCTGATACCATGTTAAAAGAGAGAGAGGAATTGATGAAATAGTTCGTTGTATTGCTTGAGTCTCGTGGGCATATATATAGGAGTGAGAAATGCTAGAGCGACGGGCATATTTTACAGACTTTACGGACTGATGCTAGATGGCAGTTTTCGGTTGGAGTTTAGAGAGGGAGGCGGGGTCCACCCGCCTTAAAATCAGGGGGGGCGAAGGTTATTAGCGTTAAGGGGCCCGTAAACCATCCGTGATTGTCCGTGTGTTTAGAATTATCGTATAAGAGTACAATGACCAACTTAAAGTACAAGACAAGGCATGACCAAATTCTAGTTCATCTTATAATACTTCCTAATAATCTTATACTCGACAATTCAGACATGCTTATTTTCCTGGCTTCTTCCACGTGCAATGACAAATTAACGCTCCTGCACAGCTTACCCAGCCAACGAGTGACTAGACTAGTGCGAAAGATACTACTCGTGAAAGCAGTGCTACTCACTGGTCACTGCAACTTGCCGGACACGCCCGTTATCCCGTGTAGTTTTCTGCCCGGCGTCTTGCTTGTATGAGCTTGGAGCTATGTGCGAGTCCGAGTCTTCGTGAGATATTTTGCTTGCTTGAGCTGTGAGCTGTGTGTGGGTGCCTCGCAGCTTCCTGTGAGTGGCACCTGCGTGAGCAAGCTCCAAATGTAGGCCTGGCTGGTGTATGGTTTGCTACATTCGTTCACAGTCTACCTAGAGTTCCCAGCCGCTGAATCTTTGCTCTATATAAATGTGGAGAAGGCAACAATGGAAGATTGTCAAGGAACCATGCAGTCTCTGCTAGCCCTTGGTCTGCTGCTGCTTCTGAGCCTCGACGGAGGTGTGGCCTTGGCGGCGGAAGACGGCCGGTTCGCCTACCAAGGCTTCGCCACCGCGAACCTCACGCTGGATGGCGTCGCCGCCGTCACGCCCAACGGCCTCCTGCTGCTCACCGACACGGAGTACCAGACAACAGGCCATGCCTTCCACCCCGCACCACTCCGCTTCCTCGACAGCTCCACCGCGACGGCGAACAGCGCCGCCAATGCGCGGTCCTTCTCCGCGTCCTTCGTGTTCGCCATTAGGTTCAGAACTCCAGATACGATGGCCTGACCAGCTACGGGCTTGCGTTCGTCGTCGCGCCGACCTCGAACCTCTCAGCTGCCGAGAGCGGGCGGTACCTGGGCCTCCTCAACGGGACAAACGGCACGGCCAGCGATCCCATCTTGGCGGTCGAGCTCGACACCATCATGGACGTCGAGTTCCGCGACATCAACAGCAACCACGTCTGCATCGGCGTCAACAGCCTCATCTCACGGCAGGCCAAGCTGGCTGGGTACTGCAGCGACGAGAACGGCACCTTTCAAGAGCTGAGGCTGAACAGCCGCCAACCGATGCAGGTCATGGTTTTCATTTTCACTGTAATTTCATCATGTCAGCAATTATAGTAGTACACATGAATTCAGATTACTTACAAAGTAGTTCCTCCGTTCCTAAATATAAGTTTTTTAGAGATTCTAATATGGATTAAAAATAAAGCAAAATGAGTAAATCTACGCTCTAAAATATGTCTATATACATTTGTATGTAGTCCTATTAAAATTTCTAAAAGGACTAATATTTGGAAACGGAGGTAGTAACATTTTGGAAAGAAAATATTTGGTCGGATCTCAATCAAATTCAAGTGAAAATTTTGGTCCTCTCACCAAAATGAAAACCTAAACCACTCATTTCAGATATGGCTGAAATGAGATGTGCTTCGGTACAACCCCCCTCTAAAACGTATAAAGGGTAGGTAGTACAGACATTTCACATATTGTATCCATTTCTAAATGTACGATAGTGCCCGCTGAGTATAAATCCTGGGTACTCAAGCATCCTGGGTAGTAACATTGAGTTGTAGTGAGATTCGTACTCGTTACCTCTCAGTATAAATCCTCTAGCTGTCTAGCAGAACCAACTGGGACACCTCGGGCTACTGTGCTACCTACGACATTTGAATCTTCTTGTTCACGCGGCAGATGTGACGCTAAAAAAAGAGAAACGCTAGGGATCAGATCAGACCACTTCGTCATCATTCTTTTTTTAGGCGAAATACTTCGTCATCATTCGATTTGTAGAAACTGACACACAAATCCGATTGGAAGGCATAGAACGTGCGCCAGCAAAGCTTTTACCTTATGTGATTGGTGGAAAGTAATAACTGCCCATAGATCACGTGAGTTGGGAAACAAATCACTGATTTAAGGAAGCAAAATAAATGTTAGAAAACTAATTCAAGATTTTAAAGAAAAATAATCAATCTAGCGAAATTTGTATCCAATGTTACCAAAAATTAGTTCATGTGCAACTAAGAAGACACCAAAAAATTTCGTCTCTATTCATTTGCAGTGCACCAAAACTACGCTCAAATTTTGCCTCCACATCAACTCAAAATTAACATGCTTCATTGGTCCGTATAACATGTTTCCAACTAGCTAAATATTTGCTTCATTCCCATCTCCAAAATCATAGGATTCATATTCTCATATCACACGTATTATGTATTCACCATAATATTAGCTTCAAGTCTGGTATCCATGTGCTTGCCTCCTTACGTTCTTTATTGTACAAGCTCGTAGCCACTGTCGACCGAGGGCTTGTTGTGAACTGACACGGTGAAGTTGTTGATGAGATCGGACCAGGTGATTAAATTATGATTTTAAATTATTTTTCGTTCAAACATTTATTAAATGTTTTTTTAAAAAGCCTTTATAGTTTTCAATTTTGTCCCTTATTATTTATTAGTTATGTTAAAAACTTAAAAGCAGTTTTAAGTACCTACCTAAATTATGATTTTAAATATATTTTCCAAACTTAGCATAGATGCTTAATATAGGCAGGCCCACCTGCTAGCGAAAGTTGTGGTCATATCAAGAATGTCCCAAACATATGCAACGTAGGTTGTCCGGGTAAGCCAGAAGGCACCGTTTGATAGCACGTTGTTTCCCAACATCAGTCAAATGAACCTAATTTTTTTTATTGGCTTGTATGATCAACTCAAGGCATCATGGCAGGTTGTTTTATTTTTCAACAATTTTTTTATTTACTAGAGTTTTCTTGGTCAAAAAGACCAATAAACGGTCAGACATGTCGTAGCTTGTATATGGTGTCAGAAATTGTGCAAACCTGGCATGAATGCCTACCATGGACATGCCTGCCTATTTCTAGAACTTGGGGTCATTTCAAGAATTTCTAAAACTAAACCATGTTCAACATAAGGTGTGCAGGTAAGGCAGAAGGCTCTGTTTGAGAGCTTGTTGTTCCTCAACATCCTTGAATTGGCCCCAACTTTAACCAAGGGTGTGTCTACCTTCTTTCAAAAGTTGGGTTCATTTCATACATGTTAAAAAATACAACGTGTTCAACCGAGGGTGTTTGGGTAGGCGAGAACGGTCTGTTTGGGAGCACTTCATTTCTCAACATCCTAAAATGGCTCCAACTTTTTCTTGGTCTTGTATGGCCAATTCAAGGCACCATGCCAAGCTGTTTCAGTTTTCGATAATTCTTGCATTTTCTGAAGTTTTCTCGATGAAAAATGCCCGGACGTGATGCAACTTTCACACAGTGTCGGAATGCATTCAAACATGGCATAGATGCCTACCATGGGCATGCCCACCTGCTTGCAAAAGTTGGGGTCTATTCATGCATGTCCAAAAATAACCATGTTCAACAGAGGGGGTTCGAATAGGCCAAAACGGTCCATTTGAGAGTCCATTTTTTTCATGGCCTTGTATGACCAAATCAAAGTGCCATGGCAAGTTATTTGAATTTTCGACAATTTTTGCATTTTTTGGAGTTTTCTTAGTGAAAAATGGTCAAACATGATGAAACTTGCATACAGTGTAGGAATTCATTCAAATATGACATGGATGCCTACCATGGGCATGCCCACTTGCTGACAAAGTTAGATCATTTCATGCATGTCAAAAAATAGATCATATTCAATGGAGAGTGTTCAGGTAGGCGAGAAGGGTCCGTTCGAGACCATTTTTTTACATCCATCACACATGACCCAAATTTATTCCATGAGCTTATATGGCCAATTCTAGGCACCATGCCAAGTTGTTTGAGTTTTCAAAAAAAATCCTTTTCTGGAGTTTTCTTGGTGAAAAGGACCGATAAATAGTCGGGCATGTCGCAACATGCAAGCGATGTCGGAAGTCGTTCAAACCTGGCATGGATGCCTCATGTGTCCGTACCAGGCTGCTGAAAAAAGTTGGGGTCAATTATCCATAGTCCAAAAAACCACTAGTTGAGAGGAGTGTGCTAAACTAGGCCAGACGAGTCCTGTGAGCATGTAGTTTTTCCCAATTTGAAAGCTTCTGTTATTTGTAACTTCTGCCATTATCAACCAAAATGAACATTTTATTGTGAACTAACCATCTCTTGAAATTTGCGAACAATTTTGAAATTTCAATTTGTGTATGAAAGTTTTACAAGTTTGAACACCTTTTCCACAATTGATAACAAATTCCCAACAATTGATGAAAATTTTGACAAAAATAGGAAACAACGTACTTTTCTATAAAATCATCATTTTTTTGGAAGCACAAGCATTTATTCTACACAAAACATTTTTTAAGATTCTAGAATATTTTTTAAAATTCTATTTTTTTTTAAAACAAGAACATTTTAGGGTATTCCAAATAATTTTCCAACTTTTTGAACAAGTTTGAAAAAGAATTAACAAAAAATAGAAAACAATGCTTAGCCGTTGGCTTAACTAGGGGACGGCAACGATCCCATCAGGCGCCTGTTGGGGGAAACTCCATTTGATGCTTATTACGTCAAACAGTCGTTGTTTCTCACACACCCAATCGATACGAGTGAACATGAGCCAGCCCATTTTAATCTGTTCATTGCCTCTGCAGATGCCGGTTTTTAGAACCTTTTAGATGGTTACAGGCCGATTTTTACCTGTTTCGGGAATGTTTAAAAAGGTTCATGAATCTTTTTGTTTTTCAAAATTGCAAACTTCAAAAAATGTTCAACGTATTTATTTATTTATTCACATTTAAAAAAAATCAAAAATACCAAAAATGGTCGCATTTTCAACAAGTTTAAAGTTTCAAAATAGTTTGTGTTTTAAAAAATTGCCAGGATTTTAAAAAAATCTCATTATTTTAAATTGGTTCGGAGTTTATAAATGTGTTCCGCTTTTTGGAAAATTTGTTTGAATTTTAAAACTTTTGTTTACAATTTGGAAAAATGTCCGCGTTTAAAAAAATCACGTCCTAATATCCAAAAAAAATGGTCAAATATGTCACTGGTCATGGTTTTTAAAACCCGCGCTGCCAATTAGTCAAGATGGGTGTCTCAATCTAGTGGTTGTGCTGGATTGTGTTGATGTGGGAGCTCTTGTGTTCGTTTCCTGCTTGGAGCAATTCTTTTTAGATTTTCCACTGTTTCACTACAAGTCACAAAACTGCAAGTCCACTACGCACGTCGTTTGCTGCTGGGCCAGCCCAGTTTACTGCTCCCTGTACGGTCTGGGTGACGTATTGTGTTCAATTCCTGCTGGGAGCAATTCTTTTTAGATTTTCCACTGTTTCACTACAAGTCACAAAACTGCAAGTCCACTACGCACGTCGTTTGCTGCTGGGCCAGCCCAGTTTACTGCTCCCTGTATGGTCTGGGTGACGTATTTCGTAAAAGGACCATCCTGCCCTTTCTTATGAAGAGGTATGACCAGATCTGGTTCGTCAACGTGTCTAAGGGGGTTGTATCGAAAAAGAAGTGGGCTGGAATATTTCTAAAACTGAAATTCAAAACCATGTGCAGGTGTGGGTAGACTATGATGCACAGGCCAGACGACTCAACGTGACATTAGCGTCCGTGCATGTACCAAGGCCCAAGATTCCTCTACTCTCCGAAGTCATTGATCTCTCCACAGTCATGGCAGACAAGATGTACGTTGACTTTTCAGCTTCCGGAGGTTGGGGCGTAGGCACACACCACTATGTCCTTGGATGGAGCTTCATCTTGGACGGACCCACCCCGCTGCTAGACTTCTCCACGCTGCTAGACCATACAGGGAGCAATTCTTTTTAGATTTTCCACTGTTTCACTACAAGTCACAAAACTGCAAGTCCACTACGCACGTCGTTTGCTGCTGGGCCAGCCCAGTTTACTGCTCCCTGTATGGTCTGGGTGACGTATTTCGTAAAAGGACCATCCTGCCCTTTCTTATGAAGAGGTATGACCAGATCTGGTTCGTCGACGTGTCTAAGGGGGTTGTATCAAAAAAGAAGTGGGCTGGAATATTTCTAAAACTGAAATTCAAAACCATGTGCAGGTGTGGGTAGACTATGATGCACAGGCCAGACGACTCAACGTGACATTAGCGTCCGTGCATGTACCAAGGCCCAAGATTCCTCTACTCTCCGAAGTCATTGATCTCTCCACAGTCATGGCAGACAAGATGTACGTTGACTTTTCAGCTTCCGGAGGTTGGGGCGTAGGCACACACCACTATGTCCTTGGATGGAGCTTCAGCTTGGATGGACCCACCCCGCTGCTAGACTTCTCCACGCTTCCTGTCCTACCACGCCTGGGTCCCAAACCTCAGTCAAAGATCTTGGATGTCGTGCTGCCACTGGCCGCGGCATTGCTTGTCATTGCAATGCTAGCTATCATCTTCTTCTTCTTGTGGCATCGTCGTCGATTTGCTGAGGTACGAGAAGATTGGGAGGACGAGTTCGGCCCACATTGTTTCGCGTACAAGGATCTATTTCATGCCACTGAGGGGTTTTTTGGTACGAATTTACTTGGTGTGGGAGGATTTGGAAGAGTGTACAGAGGAGTGCTTTTTTCGTCCAACTTGAAGGTTGCGGTGAAGAGAGTGTCACATGATTCGAAACAAGGAATAAGGGAGTTCATTGCTGAGGTGGTGAGCATTGGTCGTCTCCGCCACCAGAATCTTGCGCGGTTACTAGGCTATTGCCGGCGAAAGGGTGAACTTTTCTTGGTTTATGACTACATGGAAAATGGTAGTCTTGACAAATACTTGTACAATGGAAACAAGCCAACTCTACAATGGTCCGAGAGGTATCGGATCATCAAAGTCACTCTCGTGCTCCTACCCATCATCCAGTGCAAGGCCTAGCATGCGGAAGATCGTGCAATACCTGGACCGTGCAATACCTGTCTCCAACTTACGTGAGTTACAACATGTTAGCAATGATGCAGCATGAAGGGTTCGATTCGTACATAATACCGTCCAATTCGTCGAATAGCACTGTGTGTCGTCAGTCTTCGGTGACAATTCTACAGGAGGGGAGGTGAAGGCTTGCAAGTGACGCCTCTTGTTTTTGTTTCTTGTCTCATTGTTCCTTTAAGTGCTTGTAATCCACTTCTGATGTGAGCTTTCCTTTGAATATCTTGTGAACCAGGTATGCTGGGGGAGCTCTTTTACTAATGTACGAAACCGAGTTTTCATAGTGATATTTCTATCTTGTACATAAGTTTAGTGGTCATTAGTGATATTACCTCAACTTTCCAGTGACAGTCTCTAGCAAGTCGATCTGCACCCATGCACAATTCTCCCAAATTAAATGATTCACCTAGGTACGCTTACTCTATGCTAGTTAGAGCATTTCTAACCGATCCCCTAAAATTTAGGGGAGTAAAAGGCTTAGTGAAGGGCTTAGTGGAGTATATATATACTGCACTAGGTTTTGGCTGGACTTAGCCGATCCCCTAAATATAACGAAGTAAATTTTTGTTTTTTTAAACTTTGCAATTCTAGTATAAATTGCAACTACATATTGGCACACATATATAAACTAAACATAGTTTTCCACTAGTGGTTGTGCTGGATTGTGTTGATGTGGGAGCTCTTGTGTTCGATTCCTGCTGGGAGCAATTCTTTTTAGATTTTCCACTGTTTCACTACAAGTCACAAAACTGCAAGTCCACTACGCACGTCGTTTGTTGCTGGGCCAGCCCAGTTTACTGCTCCCTGTACGGTCTGGGTGACGTATTGTGTTCGATTCCTGCTGGGAGCAATTCTTTTTAGATTTTCCACTGTTTCACTACAAGTCACAAAACTGCAAGTCCACTACGCACGTCGTTTGCTGCTGGGCCAGCCCAGTTTATTGCTCCCTGTATGGTCTGGGTGACGTATTTCGTAAAAGGACCATCCTGCCCTTTCTTATGAAGAGGTATGACCAGATCTGGTTCGTCGACGTGTCTAAGGGGGTTGTATCGAAAAAGAAGTGGGCTGGAATATTTCTAAAACTGAAATTCAAAACCATGTGCAGGTGTGGGTAGACTATGATGCACAGGCCAGACGACTCAACGTGACATTAGCGTCCGTGCATGTACCAAGGCCCAAGATTCCTCTACTCTCCGAAGTCATTGATCTCTCCACAGTCATGGCAGACAAGATGTACGTTGACTTTTCAGCTTCCGGAGGTTGGGGCGTAGGCACACACCACTATGTCCTTGGATGGAGCTTCAGCTTGGACGGACCCACCCCGCTGCTAGACTTCTCTACGCTTCCCGTCCTACCACGCCTGGGTCCCAAACCTCAGTCAAAGATCTTGGATGTCGTGCTGCCACTGGCCGCGGCATTGCTTGTCATTGCAATGCTAGCTATCATCTTCTTCTTCTTGTGGCATCGTCGTCGATTTGCTGAGGTACGAGAAGATTGGGAGGACGAGTTCAGCCCACATTGTTTCGCGTACAAGGATCTATTTCATGCCACTGAGGGGTTTTTTGGTACGAATTTACTTGGTGTGGGAGGATTTGGAAGAGTGAACAGAGGAGTGCTTTTTCCGTCCAACTTGAAGGTTGTGGTGAAGAGAGTGTCACATGATTCGAAACAAGGAATAAGGGAGTTCATTGCTGAGGTGGTGAGCATTGGTCATCTCCGCCACCAGAATCTTGCGCGGTTACTAGGCTATTGCCGGCGAAAGGGTGAACTTTTCTTGGTTTATGACTACATGGAAAATGGTAGTCTTGACAAATACTTGTACAATGGAAACAAGCCAACTCTACAATGGTCCGAGAGGTATCGGATCATCAAAGTCACTCTCGTGCTCCTACCCATCATCCAGTGCAAGGCCTAGCATGCGGAAGATCGTGCAATACCTGGACCGTACAATACCTGTCTCCAACTTATGTGAGTTACAACATGTTAGCAATGATGCAGCATGAAGGGTTCGATTCGTACATAATACCGTCCAATTCGTCGAATAGCACTGTGTGTCGTCAGTCTTCGGTGACAATTCTACAGGAGGGGAGGTGAAGGCTTGCAAGTGACGCCTCTTGTTTTTGTTTCTTGTCTCATTGTTCCTTTAAGTGCTTGTAATCCACTTCTGATGTGAGCTTTCCTTTGAATATCTTGTGAACCAGGTATGCTGGGGGAGCTCTTTTACTAATGTACGAAACCGAGTTTTCATAGTGATATTTCTATCTTGTACATAAGTTTAGTGGTCATTAGTGATATTACCTCAACTTTCCAGTGACAGTCTCTAGCAAGTCGATCTGCACCCATGCACAATTCTCCCAAATTAAATGATTCACCTAGGTACGCTTACTCTATGCTAGTTAGAGCATTTCTAACCGATCCCCTAAAATTTAGCGGAGTAAAAGGCTTAGTGAAGGGCTTAGTGGAGTATATATATACTGCACTAGGTTTTGGCTGGACTTAGCCGATCCCCTAAATATAACGAAGTAAATTTTTGTTTTTTTAAACTTTGCAATTCTAGTATAAATTGCAACTACATATTGGCACACATATATAAACTAAACATAGTTTTCCACTAGTGGTTGTGCTGGATTGTGTTGATGTGGGAGCTCTTGTGTTCGATTCCTGCTGGGAGCAATTCTTTTTAGATTTTCCACTGTTTCACTACAAGTCACAAAACTGCAAGTCCACTACGCACGTCGTTTGTTGCTGGGCCAGCCCAGTTTACTGCTCCCTGTACGGTCTGGGTGACGTATTGTGTTCGATTCCTGCTGGGAGCAATTCTTTTTAGATTTTCCACTGTTTCACTACAAGTCACAAAACTGCAAGTCCACTACGCACGTCGTTTGCTGCTGGGCCAGCCCAGTTTATTGCTCCCTGTATGGTCTGGGTGACGTATTTCGTAAAAGGACCATCCTGCCCTTTCTTATGAAGAGGTATGACCAGATCTGGTTCGTCGACGTGTCTAAGGGGGTTGTATCGAAAAAGAAGTGGGCTGGAATATTTCTAAAACTGAAATTCAAAACCATGTGCAGGTGTGGGTAGACTATGATGCACAGGCCAGACGACTCAACGTGACATTAGCGTCCGTGCATGTACCAAGGCCCAAGATTCCTCTACTCTCCGAAGTCATTGATCTCTCCACAGTCATGGCAGACAAGATGTACGTTGACTTTTCAGCTTCCGGAGGTTGGGGCGTAGGCACACACCACTATGTCCTTGGATGGAGCTTCAGCTTGGACGGACCCACCCCGCTGCTAGACTTCTCCACCCTTCCCGTCCTACCACGCCTGGGTCCCAAACCTCAGTCAAAGATCTTGGATGTCGTGCTGCCACTGGCCGCGGCATTGCTTGTCATTGCAATGCTAGCTATCATCTTCTTCTTCTTGTGGCATCGTCGTCGATTTGCTGAGGTACGAGAAGATTGGGAGGACGAGTTCAGCCCACATTGTTTCGCGTACAAGGATCTATTTCATGCCACTGAGGGGTTTTTTGGTACGAATTTACTTGGTGTGGGAGGATTTGGAAGAGTGTACAGAGGAGTGCTTTTTCCGTCCAACTTGAAGGTTGCGGTGAAGAGAGTGTCACATGATTCGAAACAAGGAATAAGGGAGTTCATTGCTGAGGTGGTGAGCATTGGTCGTCTCCGCCACCAGAATCTTGCGCGGTTACTAGGCTATTGCCGGCGAAAGGGTGAACTTTTCTTGGTTTATGACTACATGGAAAATGGTAGTCTTGACAAATACTTGTACAATGGAAACAAGCCAACTCTACAATGGTCCGAGAGGTATCGGATCATCAAAGTCACTCTCGTGCTCCTACCCATCATCCAGTGCAAGGCCTAGCATGCGGAAGATCGTGCAATACCTGGACCGTGCAATACCTGTCTCCAACTTACGTGAGTTACAACATGTTAGCAATGATGCAGCATGAAGGGTTCGATTCGTACATAATACCGTCCAATTCGTCGAATAGCACTGTGTGTCGTCAGTCTTCGGTGACAATTCTACAGGAGGGGAGGTGAAGGCTTGCAAGTGACGCCTCTTGTTTTTGTTTCTTGTCTCATTGTTCCTTTAAGTGCTTGTAATCCATTTCTGATGTGAGCTTTCCTTTGAATATCTTGTGAACCAGGTATGCTGGGGGAGCTCTTTTACTAATGTACGAAACCGAGTTTTCATAGTGATATTTCTATCTTGTACATAAGTTTAGTGGTCATTAGTGATATTACCTCAACTTTCCAGTGACAGTCTCTAGCAAGTCGATCTGCACCCATGCACAATTCTCCCAAATTAAATGATTCACCTAGGTACGCTTACTCTATGCTAGTTAGAGCATTTCTAACCGATCCCCTAAAATTTAGCGGAGTAAAAGGCTTAGTGAAGGGCTTAGTGGAGTATATATATACTGCACTAGGTTTTGGCTGGACTTAGCCGATCCCCTAAATATAACGAAGTAAATTTTTGTTTTTTTAAACTTTGTAATTCTAGTATAAATTGCAACTACATATTGGCACACATATATAAACTAAACATAAATTTAAATGTTCAACCAAATTATGAATATAGTTTACAAACTGAATTTAAACACGCTGAATGGTTCAACGTAGCAAATAGCATTTTATAGAACAACTAGGACTCGCTTAGACGTTGCCAATGATGCTCAACAAGATCTTGTTGGAGCTGAGTATGAACTTGACAGTTCTCGATCTTGCGATGCCCCTCAAGGGATGTCAAGATCTTATTTGTATCATATTTTGGCTCAACCGGAGTCCTATTGGTGATGTACCGAAAGTTCTCAGGCATATCTCTCTCGTTTTCAATGAGCATGTTATGCAATATGATACAACAAGTGATGATTCGCCATAGAACCTTGGAGTTTAGTACTCGGCAGGGTCACGAACAATTGCAAAGCGCTTCTAAAGCACATTGAAGGATCTTTCCATATTTTTTCTTGCAGCTTCTTGATATTGGGCAAAGTAAGTGTTTTTGTTATCTTTTGAATACATAGACAACGAGCTCGAGACCGTGGGATCCATCTCCATGTGAGCAGATAGCCACTAACTCTAGCCGGCCTATCATTCCTAGTACGAGGCAGACGTATTACGCTGAATTCAATGTTTCAGCACACTGAAAATCATTCCCCTTATTTTCCTGCTTCCTTCCACATGCAACGACGAACGCTCCTTGCCTTGCCCTGTGTGGCACGGTGCTTGAGAGCAACTCCAGCCGCGTCCCCAACAAGGTCCCCCAGGCAACTTTTCGGCCGCCTGCGCCAAAAAATCGGCCCAGTCGCGTCCCAGGGGCCCATTTTTCATCGTCTCGGCCCGAAATTGGCGTCGGCGGACCCAACCAGAACCCGGCGCCTGGGGGGCGCTCGGGGGCGCTGGGCGAATCATTTTTGACGCGAAAGCGCCGTGGGGCAGCCGCGTCAGCGACACCGCCGCCTCGTCTTCCCGACGCCTCGGTTTCCCACGGGGAATCAATGGCAAGACTGCCGCCGGTCATCTTTGCCATTGATTCCTCACGGGCGGCGCGTCACGGGGCGGCGCACCGACGTGCGCCGACGCCTTCCCTCCCTCGGACGCGTACACACGGACGCGGTGCGGCTATATATGGTCTCGCTCGCCGCGTTCGAGTGCCACCTCTCCACACCTCTCCCGAGCGCCGCCGCCGAGCTCCTCTCCCTACCACAGCCCTCCCTCTCCCGCCGGTCTCTTCTCCCCAGCCACTCCCTCTCCCCGATGGCCGAGCGTTTCCCCGGAGATGAGGCGGCGGCCAACGGCTTCGGCCGCCGTTCGCTCCGCGAACAGGAGTCCTGGCTCCTGTTCCAGGCGAACATCCCGGTGCCGCGGGACATGCGCGCCGGGCCGACGGGCTGGAGGCTCAGCAATGGGGGAGTGCCCATTCCCCCGTTGCCCGACGCCGTCAACAAGCCATCGTACTTCGCCGACGAGGTCGAGATTGCGCGCGCCTCTCTCAACGACGCCGAGCGCTCCCTTCCCCAGTACGCCGCCGACAACAACGCGGCATGGACGGCATACTTCGAACGCTGCCAGCAGCAGCGGCTGGCGTCCACCAACGGGGCGCCGTGTTGGGGAACGTAGCAGAAATTCA